TCTACCTTTACATTTCCAACCCTCACAAGCAGTCCTGATAACAATTATTCAATATTGTATCACTAGAGACCCATCCGCATTTCATCAGCCCTGATAGGTACTTACTTTTATTTGCACATTTGATGAAGTATTTGACCAAGCTACTGATTTCTTGCATCTTTTTCTGCCTGGAGGACTGTGTTGAAGCCGATACACTTGGTTTTGCTGTTCTCACACATTCTGTTTCTTTCTGAATATATCTCTGTAGGAATCTTTTAGAAAAAACAAAATGGAATTTTAGAACCTCATTAAACACATAAATTTACAGCTTGTTGTTGTTGTGTGCCGTGGAGTCAGTTCCAACTCATAGCGACCCTGTACAGGGTTTCCGAGGCTGTAAATCTTTACGGGAGGAGAAAGCCTCATCTTTCTCCAGTGGAACAGCTGGTAGTTGTGCACTGCTGACTGTGAGATTAGCAGCCAATTCGCAACCACTACAGTACAGCTTGTTATCATAATAATTTCAAGAAGTCCTGCATGTCAACACAAGAAGCATCTTTCAATCACATTGCTACTAAGTCTAACAAGCTAAATTAAATAATTAAATCTTTCTTTCAGGACATAACTCCCACAATGCCAATTTAAAATCTGATCTGCAAAGCTCTTAATCTATAACCTCCATGATCTTCTACTGCATCATTGTCTGCTCACTAAGTCATTAAAAGCTTACAATGCTATTAAGAGCTCAATCCTCTTTCAACTCTTTTCCATTATTCTGTACATGACTTTATTCTTTCCTAGGTAATTTAATTAATGATGTTTACAAACTTTACTTGGAGTATAGTCTACCTGGAAGATACTGCTGACTAGTCAACAAATGTCAGGTCCACATGTGGCCTACCTGATAAGCTTGGTGCTAGTGGTTATGTGCTATACAGAGTTGGTTCCGACTCACGATGACCCTGTACTGGGTTACGGAAGCAGAAAGCCTTATCTTTCTCCCAAAGAACAGCTGGTAGTTTCGAACTGCTGACCTTGAGATGAGCAGCTCGACTCGTAACCACTATGCTCCTTCCTAATAATCTTAGGCAGAACAGTATACCCCTTCAGGTAACAACTCTATTTGTAGTATGTGAAATGAATTAAGAAGAGAAAACAGGAGCATACATTTCCCATGTTATATGCATTCAATCTGCAACTGTCAATCTAGTGTGAATGGGCTAAGTAAAGGAGATTATTCTAAACAGTGGAAGACCAGTAAATACACATACTTCTTCTCCAGTGCAAATGTTTCAGTTTACATAATGCTCTCAGGAGTCTATATTAATTTAGATATTTTATTCATCTTTCCCAGCATTATAATCTGTTTCTAATTATAGATGGTTTTCAGGAAATTACGTCTCTATGTAAAAATGCACCAATCATGTTTGCCATTCCTATACAGTAATCAATCAGGTTTCCCCATTGCCTGAGTATTGTTTTTAAACTACATCCATATAAAAGTATTCTATTCTAGTCCTCTTCAAAATTGTCTTATTATAATTTTATTATAACATGACCATTACTTATACTCAGAAGCAACATTTGAAGATGTCAAAGTAATAATTAAGCATTTAGTATCACTTCATTTCATTTCATAATTTGAAATACCAGAGCGTCACCCATAGAGAACAGGTTTCAGCTGAGATACCAGACTAAGAAGAAGACGCAGACTACCTCTGAATGCTTAGCCTCTGAAACTTTAATGAATAGCAGCAGAACATTGTCAGATTTCATGGTGGGAAAAGAGTGCCTCAACTTGGAAAGCACTCAAATTACAACTGGGGAAAAGCTGCCTCCTCAAAGCAGAGTTGACCAGAATGACACAAATGGAGTAAAGCTTCTGAGACCTACATTTGCTGATGGGGCACAACTCAAAAGGAGGAGAAACAGCTGCAAATCATCCATTAATAATCGGAGCATGGAGTGTACAAAGTATGAATCTAGGAAAATTGGAAGTTGTCAAAAATAATATGGACACTTCCAAGACTAAGAGTCAACGGAAATACACGCTCTGATTGGTGACCACGTTTGTCACCGATAAGGGTAAGTAAGGGAAAAACAGCAATGAAGCTGTGAGCTAAGCCCTACGTTTAATAGACTCCTGTGAATCCATGTGGAGACCTGGTTGGCCAGCAGTGTTGCAAGACCTGGGGACATTTGGGCCCAGTCAGTGACATAGCCACAAAGGACTAGAGTGGAAAGTGAAGCATCCAGCTGATAAGAAGAGAGGTCATATGTACAAGAACACCCACACTTGTACATAATACCCATTTGACCTGGCTTTAATGACTGGATGATCAGAGCTCAACTAGAAGAAAGAAGAGGAGAAAAAGAGTAATCCGATACAATTTGATGAACTTGACCTACACCTATGGATGCAGTAGCTCAAGAGGGAGCAAATCTTTACAGCAAGGATCATTCCCACGCCCTCCATACAGAGTAGACAGGGATGGGCAACTTGGAAATTGGTTACCTAAAGTGGGGGTGGGGCTACAAAGGCAAGAAATGACTGGCTTACAAGCTTTCAAGAGGGAACCTAGACGGAGGTCCCTGGGACCATGAAGGGAGAAGAGCGGAGAGCAGGACCCTACCCAGAGAAGCAGTGATGAGTGAGATGGAGGCAGAGATGATGACGTGGAGAGATGGAGCAGCTGGGGACTTGAGATCCAGAGAGGGAGAGGGGCTGTGTGTTGATGACTAGGGGGTGGGGGGCCCAGGCTTGTAGGATATACCCTTTGGTTGGTTGATGATGCATGGAGGGAATTATAACCATGGCAATGAAATGATATACGATAGGATGAATGTAAAACTAATATTCTCCCATGTAAACTGACACATAATTCACAATAAAACATAAAAAATAAAAATATATATGGAATGCATAGAGATCAATATCCTACGCATTAGTGAGCTGAAAAGAACCGTTATTGGGCATTTTGAATCCAACAGTGATATGGCTTATTATGCTAGGAACAACAAATTCAAGAGGAATGGTGAAGCATTCATCAGCAAAAAGAATATTTTAAGATCTATCTTAAGGTACAATGCTATCTGTGATATGATATTATCCATACGCCTATGAGGAAGACCAGTTAATACTAGGTCTTCTGATGCAGGAAGTATCAAAAGAAGATGGAAGGAATGAGCACCCTGCCTGACCTCACCTAGTGGTTTGAAGCAATGATCCAAGCCAAGAGAGTAGAAGAGAGTTGCATGGTAGTCCTCCGAGAAGTGAGAGAGCAGCAGACTCTGGTGGAACAGTGGATAAGAGATAAAGAAATTCTGCAGGAGTGGGGACAGAGGCTAGGAAGAAAAAGGAGGAGCTCTTCTGCCTCCTGCCTCCATGGATAAATCTGGTAACCCTGAGGATTCCCTTTGCCATAGATATGATCCAGAATGAGAGCCTCAGTGAATCCACCAAGAAAAATGAAACAAAATTAAGACAAGTCATCACAAGCGAGCAAAGTACAGAGGCCCAAAAACTATAGGCTAAAGTAATGGAACTCTAACTGGGACTGAACTTGAACAAAACCAACAGTTCACAACCCCCCTGGGAACCTTTCACTTCACTCATTCACACACAACAGCCTCAAAATATATGTTTTAACACAAAATACTAAGAATCTGAAAATGTTTACCGTTAGTGACAAAGCAGCAATTGTACTGCCAGAGACATTTCCAGGCAGGAGGAGTTAGTTTCATACATTATTTTCTTTCTCAGGTGGTGTTGTTTTGTTAAGTGCCATCGAGTCAGTTCCAACTCATAGCGACCCTGTATAGGGTTTCTGAGGAGTGGCTGGTGAGCTTGAACCACTGACCTTGCGGTCCAGAGCATTAGCCCGCAGTGGCACATAGGACTTCTTCTCAGGTGGTGGAGGGGGGATACTTGGACTTGATGTTATTCTTATGATTTATGTTAAGACAGCGTATTTTTAAAAAACCAAATCGATATAAGGTTGCTTTCTTCAAGGCTGTAAAGATTTTAAGCACATTGAAAAAAAAGATGATGATGATAGAAGGAATATACAGTCACTGTACCAAAAAGAAATGCTCGACGTTCTACCATTTCAAGAGTTAGCATATGATCAAGATGTTACTGAAGAGGCAGTCTAGTCTGCACAGAAGGCATCAGCAAAAGCCAAGGCTCTAGTAATCGACAGAACACAAACTGAAATCTTTCAACAAACCATTGTAGCACTGAAGATCCAGTACTCACCTATGCCAACAAATTTGGAAGAAAGCTACCTGGCCAGCTGACTGGAAGAGAAGCACATCTGTGCCCATTTCAAAGAGAGGTGGCCCAACGGAATGTGGAAATCATCAAACACTATCAATAATATGACACGTCAGTAAAATTTTGCTGAAGATTACGCATAAATTATTGCAACAGTACATCGATGGGGAGTTGCCAGAAATTCAAGTTGGATTCAGAAGAGGATATGGAACAAGAAATATCATTACTGGTATCAGATGGATCTTGGCTAAAAACAGAATACCAAAAAGATGTTTACTTCTGCTTTATTGAATATAGAAAGGCTTTCAACTGTGTGGATCATGACAAATTATGGATAACATTGAAAAGAATGGGTATTCCAGAACACTATATTGGGCTCATGAGGAACCTGTACATAGACCAAGATGCAACTGTTAGAACAGAACAAGGGGATATTGAATGGTTTCAAATCAGGAAAGGTGTGCCCAAGGGCTGTATTTTTTCATCATACTTAATCAAGCTGTATGATGAGCAAATACTCTAAGAAGCAAGGTTATATGAAGAAGAAAGTAGTATCAGGATTGAAGGAAGACTCATTAACAACCTGCGATATGCAGATGATATAACCTTGCTTGCTGATAGTGAAGAGGACTTAAAATACCTAAGTGATAAAGATCACAGACAATATCCTTCAGTATGGATTGCACCTCAATGTAAACAAACAAAAAATCCTCACAATTGAACCAATAAATACCATCATGATAAATGGAAAAAAATCTGCAGTTGTCACGGACTTCATTTAGATTAGATCTATAATCAACACTCAATGGAAACAGCAGACACATCAACAATGTATTGCATTAAGCAAATCTGCTGTACAAGGTTTCCTGAACGTGTTCAAGAATAAAGTTATCAGTTTGAGGAGTAAGGCGCACCTGAGTCAACCCATGGTATTTTTAATAGCCTTATATACATGGGAAAGTTGGACAATGAATAATGGGAGAGAAGAACTGATGCATATGAATTATGGTGTTGGAGAAGAATATTGAGTTTCATGGACTGCCAGAACAACAAATAAATCTGTCTTGAAACAAGTACAGCCAGAATGAGCCTTAGAAGCCAGGAAGATGAGACTTCCTCTTTCATATTCAGACATGTTATCAGGAAAGACGAGTCCCTAGAAAAATGACATCATGTTGGTAATGTGGAGCATCACTTAAAAAGAGGAATACCTGGTGTGGCACTGTAGCATCAGCACTGGACTGTGAAACACAAGGTCAGTAGTTCAAACCCACCAGTAGCTCCTTAGGAACCATAAACAGGTTCGCTATGAGTAGGAACCAACTCAGCGGCACTTAACAACAACCTCCAAGGAAATGGACTGACACAAGACTCCAGCCATGGATTCAAATATAACAACTGTAAGGACGGTGCAGGACCAGACAGTGTTTCAATCTGTTACACACAGGGACACTATGAGTTAGAACCAACTCAATGGCACTTACCAACAATGACAATATGAAATAAAATCCTAAGAACTAATCAATATGGAAGTATTTCCTTCTCCATCTGGAGTGAGATATGACTAAGACTTTGTAATGACAAATGATTTTAAAACTTTTTAACTTCTTGTACATGAAATCTACTTTACAAATTATGTTAAATTTATAAGGCACCAATTTTACATATAAGGCACAATATATATAATTTGCAGAACAAAGATGAGTAAGACCTACAGACACAAAATAAGTATCAGACAGAAATAAAAACTAAACAAAGAAAAATAAGGAAAGCAAAAATAAGAGCCAAAAAAACTAGAATGGAATACCTAAAAACAGCATCCCAGTTCAAATATTTTCCTTGCTTGGAATCTGAATGCCGATCTAAATGCTGAACTGTTTCAGGATCCCGAATCAGGCGCTTAAATTTCTCAACTTCTTTCTGAAAATGAAAAATCAACATAATAATGGGCTACCAATCACACACACCTGGTTTCAAAGAAAAATTTACACTTAAGTAATTTATTACCCTTCGTTCTGTAGCTCTATCATGTTCTAGTTGGCGGCAACAGATAAGTAGATCATTAAGTGCTAGACTCATGGTTCAGAATTTCAGGCCACACAACATTACCTGTAAAATAAGTAAATAAGTGAAATTAATTTTGATTGGTATTAATATATAGGTAAATCCAACTGTACAGCCAGAAATATAATGTAAGCAAAGGCACCATGATTTTTCTTAACAATTCCGTATTTAAAATGAGATTCTTAGATCAAAATAATTCTACAACACAAATGTATGCATTGTTTCCACCAATAAGATAAAAATAATTGTTATCTGAATACTCAGAGACCTCGTCTAGGAAGTATTACATATAACTTGAGACGCAAAGATGAGAAGACAGCCAAACAAAGGATACAAAAGACAGCACACAAGGATTTAACAATGACAGTCTAAAGTGCTTAAAGGTACCCTTGCTTACATGTAGTGACTTGTCATTTTGCTAATGCAAAAGCTTAAACTGCTTATGCTTTGGAAGTGATTATGTAAGAAGTTATCATAGCTAATAAAGCCTTGCTTGGCACTCAGTATCTCCACTGGCTTCAGGGTTGGTGGTGATAGTAGTGTCCCTCGGAGTTGGTTCTAACTCAGAGTAACCCTGTATAGGGTTTCCGAGGCTGTAAATCTTGATGGGAGCTGAAAGCCTCATCTTTCTCCCAAGGAGCATCTGGTAGACTCAAACTGCCAACCTGATGGTTAGCAGCCAATGCGTAACCCACTACGCTACCAGGGCTCCTTAACTGGCTTCACAGTTGTCATTTAATAGATAAAGTTAGGAGAGAAATAATATTACTTATTTAATATGAAAGAAATCATGTTATAGATATTCCTTGCAAATATGAAAGGTCAACTACAATTTACTACGCCTTTATTAATACCACTGTAGTAGCTCTCCTCATATAAGGTCTTCTAATATTATCAAACCCTCCCTGAATATTCTTCTTTTTTAGTCTTGTATAAGAATACCATTTGCTTATATTATTTCTAAGCCTTTTTACAAAGCTTCATTTCTGTTTTACTATAAATGTTTAGTATACCATCTAAATGCACATTCATCTCAAGAGGAAAAAACATCATTCTATTCAATCTTTCAAGACCAAAGATCAAGTATCTTTCTCTGCCCTTGATTAATCTCACAGAATCTTAGAACTGAAAGACTTACATAGGAAAGGATCCTTACTACAAAATTATTGTTCTCTCTTTGCGCAATCTAGTAAGAGCAAACTACCTAACAATTTCACTGGCAGGTAGCTCTAATGTTTTTCTCAGTTAGTATTGATTATTCTCTGGCTCATCTCCCTATTAAAACCTCTGCTTTATTCTGTTGTAGATTATGATATTCACAAAATTCTCCCTTTTATTTGATTGTAAACTTCTTGAGAACAAAGATTATTATTTTCATTTTCCCATTTCTTATGGTTTATCTGGTAATCCTCCTTTTCTTCAATCTTAGTTTAAAGGTCTTTTATTAAGTCAGCAAGAAAAATGAAATTGGGCTTTTAATTAACAAAAACATCTTAGCCAATAAAAAACAAAACAAAAACCTCACACTTTTATTCCAATATATACTAGAAATATTATTTGTAATAATAATAAAAACAAGCATGTTTACTAATTATGGAGTATACGTCCAGGAAGACGTAGCCTTAAACTTAACTTTTTTTTTTAAACACGCTATGGTCTTTCTGAATTTATTTTCTCTCTTCAGTTCCTCAAAGATTAACTACATTTTAGAAAACTTGACTGTTCCGTATTAGCATTTGCATAAAACAGATACTCACTCACTGATACCATAAATGATATTTGCTGGACACCTACAAGTAAATCAATGCATACTTACACATTATGATATATGCCTCAAAGGAAACAAAATTACATTAATGAAAAATATATGTAGAGAGGATCATTTTAGATAAATTGTCAGGGAACAACTCTTAAAAGCAGCTATAATATTAACATGAGATCTAAAAGAACTGGTGCCAATTATAGTAAAAATAAGTGTACCAAAGTTTCAGGGAAGAAGAATACCATAGTTCAGGGGTCCCAAGATAGAAAGGAGGTTGTATGCTGGAGAAACTGAAAGGCCAGAGGGACTGGAGAGTTAAATTAAATAAGATTACCACCAGATAAAGTGGAACTTCGTTCATACATTAATCCTGAGCCATCTAGTTTCACTTCTTAAATTCAACAGGAACTATACATATTCCTTACTTTACAGACTGAATTGGCAAATCCAGTGTTCCTTGTTAGATCTCAACCAAGTTGTTCTTTTTGTAGAATTTGGAAATAATGTATACAACCATTGCTTGCTGTTGTTAAGCACCTTCAAGTCAGTTCCGATTTATTGCAACTCTTTACAGGATTTCCAAAGAGCAGCCTAAGAAGATTTAAACTGCCGACCTTGTGGTTTGCAACACGCAAAGGCTTTCGATTGTATGGATCCTGACAAACTGTGGACAACATTACGAAGTATGAGTATTCCGGTACACTTAATTGTGCTCATGAGGACTCTGTACCTGGACCAAGAATCAGTTGTTAAAACAGAACATGGAAACATTGAACAGTTTAAAATTAAGAAAGGTGTGCGACAGGGTTGTATTCTCTCACCATACTTAGTCAACCTGTATGCTGAGCAAATAATCAAAATGGCCAAACTTTGTCTCTCATACTTAGGACATATTTTCAGGAGGGACCAGTCGCTGGAGAAGGATATCATATTTGCTAAGGTGGAGGGTCAGAGAAAAAGAGGAAGACCCCCCCCAACAAGATGGATTGGCCAAGTGGCAGTACTGATGGACTTAAACGTGGCAATAGTGAGGTTGGCCCAGGGTCGGGCTGTGTTTCGTTCTGCTGTGCATAAGGTCACTATGAGTCCGTACTGACTCGATGGCACCTAACAACAACAACATCTTTCTAGACCATGGGAGAACGATGAGGCTTTCTTTTCCCAGATTTACAGCCTAGGAAACCCTATACAGGGTTGCTACGAGTTGGGACCAACTCCATAGCACGCACACTACCACCACCATCACCTTTCTAGAATAATTCTGTCCTTGCCATACCGTCCTTTTCTAGTGGTTAAGAGAGTGAGTTCTGTAATCAGATTATGTTTTTGGAATTCTGGCTCTGTCATCCACAAATTGTATAATTTTAGTTAATTAGCTACTCTCTTTAAACCTGTTTTCTTAATGATAAAAATAAGAAACAGTAATAGTACCTACCTCAAAGAGCTGTTGTAAGGGTTCATGCACGTTTAAGACAGTGCCTGGAACACAGCAAATGGTCAATAAGTATTAGCAATCATCATTATTCTCTTCCTTTCTGTTTCATCATTTGCTTTTTTGATGGGTGGTTCTTTTTCCAACCCATCTGAAAGAACATCCTGATCTCCTTACTTCACACTCTATGTTCTTTCAATGTGATTGCATCCATTCTATGACTTCAATATATTGAAGACTCTCATATCTATTTCATTCCATATCAGGTTTCTTGTACTTAGGGAACCTTCATCAACACTTTCGTAGCTTTGCAGGCAATTTTTCTTCTGTCTGGACGGCTCCTTCCATCCTCCAAAGGCAATTCAGACACTGCAAGGTCTCACCACAGACTGATTTAATTTTTCCAAGCCGTTTCCACTAAACCTCATTCAATTCCGCCACCACCACGAGTCTGGGTGTAGCGCTGTGGGCTAATCCACCGGACTGTAAAATCGGCTTGAACTGCAAGATCAGCGGTTCAAGCTCACCAGCCGCTCCGCGGCTGTACAGGGTCGCTAAGGGTCGGAACCGACTCGATGGCACTTAACAACAACCACCATTACAATATTCTTAAATCACATTACCACCTTGACCTATAATAACTGTCCCCGGTAAAATTAGCAGCTGACTCTCATGAAATATCCACAGGAATGGATTATTTAATTTACCTTCACAAGAAAAAGCAAAGCAAAACCACAAAGCAGAACTCGAACACAAGCAGTGATTCTAGAGCCCACGTTCTTTAACCACGAGACTGTCATTTAGGTCTCAATAACTGCCCGCTGGATGGAAGTAATAATTAGTAGAGAAAAAGGTGATTAGTCATGTCAACTAGTTAAATCTCGACATTAAAGAGACAGGTGAAGGGGACTCACAGAGATTTGTGGTGAAATCCGCTAGGGGGGTAGAAGCCCGATATGAAGAAGAATGGGGTGAAACGAGGGGCCTAAAGAGCTGCTTTGGGTAAGTGTGTGAGGTTGTGCATCTGGGGGTGAGAGCAGATGGATAGGAAAAGAATGAATTCCCCACCGCACAAGCCAAAACCATGCTTCTGCGCCCCTAACCCCTGGACTATAAACGAACAGCGGCCAAAGTGGTATTGCAAGAAACAGCTGTGGCTGTTGCCCAAATCCAGGATCCTCTCTCCTCCCCCCGTGGCCGCAGTTCCTTCGATCCGTTATCCATTTACCTATTCCCGCTTCCGGTTCAAACTCGGCGTGACCGCACCAGCGTCCATCTCGCGAGGAAGATACCAGGCCAAGCCGATGTGGGCGCACAATCTGCCCATGCGCGCCAAATATCACACGCTTTCCTTCACTGAAAACACACACACTCCCAAAACATTCGCCTGCACCGAGGAAATGCGCCTGCGCCTTCCTTTCCACCAATGGAAAGAGACCTTGCAATTGATGCTCACTGTCTGGCACGGGTTCTTGCGTTTGCACCCCACCTCCTCGTCCTCGTCTGCCCCACCTCTCCAAATACCAGAGCGGAAATGACGACAATTCAAGGAGAACGGAGGCGGGTTTCATTTCGGCGCCTTTCTTTCTCTTGTGGAAGCGATTGGCTGGCGTGGAGCAAAAGAGGCGGGACAAATTGTCGCGGGTTCAGTGCCGCCGCTGGAACCGGGAGATGCGGCGGAGTAGCTGTCGCTGTGTTTGCCTTTACCTTTTTCCTGTTTCTTATTGTGATTCCTTCTGCGACTTTGATCATGTTGTTACCTTCGGATGTAGCCCGGCTGGTTTTGGGTAAGTGCGGTTGCGGGAAAGAAGATATTGGATCAGACAGAGTGGGACGGAAGGACCTTTGGGGCCAAAGGTTTTCCCCCTGGGCGGGGACGCTTTGAGGATTTTGCCTCCCGCCCACAAGTTCAGACTCGATGATTCTTCTTCATCCAAAGGTTTAGGACAGTTTAATTCTCTATGTGGATGCTCCACTCCTCAGAGGCTGTCTATGAGATGAGAGCTAAAGAGAAACACGGGGTGGAACATAACCAGGGGCGCGGATTCGAAGAGAAAGTCAGGCCTGAACACTTAATTGGGACCCCTGAAAGGGAGTTGTCTGCGTGATGGGCGCACTGCGCGTCTTCAACCTTGATCGCAAGAGAAATGTGGACTTTCCCAGTCACCCAGTTTGTAGAAAGACCTTCCTAACGCCCTTCACATAACTCTCCTTCAAAACTATAAATTTGGGAGTTGTAGGGGTGATTCTCCCCCTTTTCCTTCTCCCACAAGTCAGTCGTCCGGTGTAGAGATTTGAAATGCCAGATGCATGTTTTAAAACAGCAGTGGTGCCTTCTCCTTTGATAAACAAAAGAAAATTTCAGAAAGGAATTTAAACCTTCCAGTTTTTCATTTGCTTGTTAGTATTATTCCAGGACTTGGAACCATTTCTTTTCTGGAGTCAACCCCTTGCGGAGAATTTGCCTAGCTTCTCCATATGTACTGAACCCGAATCCACATTTTAACAATGTCCTTGGAGATTATAGGGATCTTGTGAAAATACAGATTCTGATTAAGTACATCTGGGGTGAAAATGCAAAATTTCAGCAGTGGGTCAATGGGGAACTGATCCGTTCAAAGTCATTTGAAGAGAGATTAATAGTATAGATCAGTTGTCTGTCTGGGTCTATTGTCTCTGTGGGTAAATAAATGGGTTTTGTTGTTTGTGTTTTTCAAGAACGGAGAACTGCGGTGAACATGAGCTACACAAAGCTCAAAACCTGGGCTAGTGATTTACAGACCTCACATGCGATATCCTTACACATATTTTTAAACATTTATGCAGAAACCTCGGGTAGTATTCTCAGCCATTATTTTATTGTTAGAAAAACCCATCTGTCTTCTTCCTTTTCTTACATACTCAGCTCTCTCCAAAAAACAAGGTGTTCTTTTTTAAAAGTTTATGCTGTTTTTGTTGAAGGTTTGTACAGCAGTTTCTGTTCATATTCAGTAGTTTCTACACAAATTGTTCAGTGACATTGGTTACAGTTTTCATAGTATGTTGTTGTTACGTGCTGTTGAGTCAGTTCCTACCCATAGTGACCCTGTGTAGGGTTTCTGAGGAGCAGCTGGTAAGTTTGAACCAGTTGCCTTCTGGTTCAAACGACTGTGGCAGTCTGGTGCATTAACCCACAGCTCCACATCAGGACTTCTTCATAATATGTAGGCGTTCTTATTTCAGTTCTGGTTGTTCCATTTCTGGGTTCTTGAGAAGCACATTTTGTAGGACACATTAAGCGGAAATGGATTCTATCACCCAATTTTGGAGAATTTTATGCCTTATAAGTTTAATATTCAGTTACTATTTCGTTAGTATTTATTCACCCACTTTATCAGACTCAAGTATCAACATAGCTAATGAATGTCTATCTTTGGTAGAAAGCTCAAGTTAAATTTATTAAGTTGATGTAAACCAACAAAAGTGGATTTTCAGGGTATACCCTGACACTTTGTTCTTCTTTGTTGTTGTTAAGTACCATGGAGTCAGTTCCGACTCATAGTGACCCTGCATAGGGTTTCCAAGGCTGTAAATCTTTACGGGAGCAGAACACCTCATCTTTCTCCCACAGAACAGCTGGTAGTTTCTAACTGCTGACTTTTCGGTTGGCAGCCCAACTCGTAACCACTGCGTTACCAGAGTTCCTTGTTCTTCTTAGTTGCATATTATTTGTGTAAGAATTTTGAGTTGGGTAGTTTGACAATCCAGTTGAATCAGTGACCATACTCTAAAATAGCGCTTTTCGATCTTGGCACCAGTGACCTTTTGAGCCAGAAAATTCTTTTTCAATGGGGGAGCTATCCTATATGTTATGGGATGTTTAGCAGCATCCCTGGCCTCAACCCTTGAATTCTGGTAACAGTACCCTTCCTCCAGTTCTGGCATTGAAAAATATTTCCAGACATTGCCGATATATTTGGGGAGTGGACATAATCATCTCTTAGTTGATAACTGTGCTGATCTTAGGAAAGTGACCTAATTATCTAGTTAAGAATATTCTCACCAGCTTATGAGTATTCCTTCTCCCAAAAGAGATGCCCTTCTTTGTCATCCACATTTTATTTTTACTGTCACCACTCCTGGCAATATGCATTTCCTATGGTGCTGTGGATTGATGCGCCAGACTGCAAAAGCCGTTTGAACTGCAAGGTTGGCAGTTCAAGCTCACCAACTGCTCCTCGGAAACCCTATACAGGGTCGCTATGGGTCGGAATCGACTTGACACTTAACACAACACTTCTCACTGGGAGCTTTGTCTTAGCTTCTCATATAGCTATCTTTTTTACAATTCATCTTACTGTTGTTACAGCAGTCTTCTAAAACATTGATGGTACTTTTTCTATCTTAAACGTCAAAACCGTTGTGTACTTGCTTAAAAAGCCTTCAAACTGCAAAAGGAGCTATGAGTGAGCTTCAAAAGTTTGTGAAAAATTCATCATCTTTTAATAACCATTTCTTCATGATCTTTTTGAGGCCCCCTTATATTGATACAGACTCCACAAAGGGAAGGTTCCCCACACTCATTGTTCTTGCTTTTCTCATTTAGCATTATATTTTGGAATTCTTTCCATATAACACATAAAAGTCTCTCATTCCAAAACTTAGGGACTTAAAATTTTAACAGTTTTCAATATTTGCTCACAATTCTTTATCCCATCAGTAATTCTTTCTCATCATTCCCTCTCATTATCAGTGCTGTTTTTCCCTAATGTTTTTTCAGAAAATCTTTGAAGGCATGGATCCAGACCCAGACACACTGCCATCATTTCTATTCCAAATCATAGTGACCCTGCATAGGGTTTCCAAGGCTGTAAATCTTTACAGGAGCAGAAAGCCTCATCTTTGTCCTGAAAAATAATTGGTGGGTTTACACTGCTGATCTTGTGGTTAGCAATTTAATGCGTACCTTATAGCTCATGTTGCTGAGTGCCATCAGGTCAATTCCAATTTATAGCAGCGCTTTATGGGGTTTCCCAGGAGCAGCTGGGAAACCCTATAAAGAGTTGCTATGAAAGGTTTAAACCATCAACCTTGCAGTTAGCAGTCCAGCACTTTATCCTATAGCTCCATACTGGCACTCCCAATGGCAACTGGTGGTGATGGTGGTGGTGTGCTGTGGAGTTGGTTTTCAACTCAGAGCGACCCTTTATAGGGTTTCCGAGGCTGTAAATCTTTATGGGAGCAAAAAAAACTCTTCTTTCTCCCGCAGAATGACTGGTATTTTTGAACTGCTGACCTTGAGGTTAGCAACCCAAGTTGTTACCACTGTGCTACCAGAGCTCCTTCCAACAGCACCTGCTATATTCCAAATGTCTTACCAGTTGTAAAAAAAGAATAATGCGCGTACTTGTTCTGCTATTCTGTCTACCTTTCATTCTTAATACCTCTCTGAGTTGTGATGTCACTACTCCACCGAAACATCCCATGTTAGTCAAATAACCAATTGTTGCCTTCCTGGAATTTCTTAAATATTACACAGACCAGAACAGCATCAAGTTGTTGCTTATTGCTTTTAGGCAACCAGTTTGTTGTATTATGGTAGCTCACATGTTGCTGTCATGCTGGAAACTAGACTGTCAGTTATTTCAAATACCACAGGGTCACTTATGGTGTATAGGTTTCAGCACAGCTTACAGACGTGGAAGAGGGACCTGGCAGTCTACTTCAACAAAACTGGGCAGTGCAAACCATATAAATAGCAACATGACATTGTTAGATACGCCCCTCAGGTTGGAAGTTACTCAAAATATGACTGGGAAAGAGCTGCCTTCTCAGTTGACCTTAATGTTGTAGATGGACCAGAGCTTTTGGGGACCTTCATTTGCTGGTAGTGAACAACCCAAAGTAAGAAACAACTGCAGACATCCATGAGTAAACAGGATATGGAGTTACAAAGTATGTACCTAAAAAGATTTGAAGTTATCAGAAATTAAATGGAACACACAAAGGTCTATCTCCCAAGCATTATTGTGCTGAAATGGACTAGTATTTGCCATTTGGAATTGGACACTCACTTCATCAATGTCAGAAATGACAAAGAGTAATGCATAGTATCACATTCATCATCAAAAGGATCTTCTTAGTACCTAGCCTGAGGTACAATGCTGTCAGTGATAGGAAAATAGCCATAAGAAGACCAGTTTATGGGACTGCTAATTCAACTTTAGACACCAACCACTAATACCAAAAATACGAAATTCAAGCTTTCTACCAACATTTGCAGTTCGAAAGGGGTTAAATGTATCCAAAAACATGATAAGAAATTATCAAGATGCGTTGATAATTGCGGCACTCAACAACAACAACGACTTATTGCAGATACCTTTTTTCAACAATATAAACTGCAGCTATACCCATAGATCTTGCCAGATGGAATACACAGAAATCAAATCAACTACATCTATGGAAAGGGATTACCTGGATGTTGCCATATTCGCACATATACTATGTTTTGGGCATTGTAAATGGTGTGCACTTGTCAAAGGATCTGTGATGTAGTGCACAGTCCAGAGGAATATAGATGTCCTACTAAACCTACCCTGATTCCAGAGAGACTTTACTATCTCTTGCCTTCATCAGAGTTCTCTTGTTGTCTTGTCCTCTGAACAAATAGAAGAGAGGACAGATTCTTTCATCCCACATCCTTAAATTTGGATACAGTTAGGATTTTTTTTTCTTCTCCTTTTCAGTTGTTTCCCCTTAAGTCAGTTTTGTTATTCATTACAGATATGCCTTGCACAGGTATCCTCCGCAGTAAAATGAATATTGCCTTAAAGGAAGTCACATACGTTTTTTAGTTTGACTGCATATAAAAGTTATGCTTACACTATACGACAGTCTATTAAGTGTGCAATTCTGATGCTGTTGAGTGCCGATGAGTAAGTTTTGTCTTAGAGCAACTCTTGTAGGGTTTCCTAGGAGCAGCTGGTGGGTTTGGACTACCAACTTTTAAGTTAGCAATCCAGTGCTTATCCTGCAGCACCATACTCAAGATACCTAGTCTACAACAGCATTCTAAAAAAAAGTTTGAAATATTTTGAAGATGACCAGAATGTGGCACAGAGACATAAGTAAACACATGGTGCTAGAAAAATGGCACTGACTGATTTGCTCTACATAAATTGCCACAAATCTG